AGAGAGACAAATGCAATGCAGAGCGAAGAACAAACCTATTGATGCTGCCTCTCTTTCTTTCTCTCTTTGCCTTTCTCTCTCTCTCTCTCTCTCTCTCTCTCTCTCTCTCTCTCTCTCTCTCTCTCTCTCTCTCTCTCTCTCTCTATCACACACATTGCGCTCTGTCAGGGTTGTCGACGCTAAGGCAACTGAAAATAAATAATCAAAATATAAAAGGAAAAACAAGTAAGAACGTTGCAGTCGGGCGTTACCGACTGSRGAATACTCMTTCACATMCCMTCAACAATTTARTAGTTAAGTTTCGTTCTAATACTGTAGAATATACAGGTTTTTCCGATTTGCCACGCCCCAACTGGGCGTAGACACCTCATTTTTGGTCAGTTTTTAGAAAGAGATAACGTTACCCTAACTGCAAAGTTTGAATGCTTACCCTAAAAAAATGTGAAAATTACAGGGTATTTTTCGATATGCCACGCCCCTAAAGAGGCGTAAAAATTATTTTTGGGGAATCGATAGAGGAGGCTACCAGTAACTCAACTATCCAAATTTGAAGCTTCTAGCTATTATACTTTAGGAGATATAAACTTTTGCGGTTTGCCACGCCCCCTGTGGGCGGACATATATCCGACAAAACTTTTTGGTCTTGGGTGATCAGTCCGAGTATGTGTTCCAAATTTCAAGTCTCTAGCTTCAATAGCGCCGAAATAGATTGCGTTCATACGGACAGACGGACAGACGGACGGACGGACAGACGGACAGACGGACAGACGGACGGACAGCAAGACGGACATTGCACAAAACCAATATACTGATTCACTTTCGTGAATGAGTATAAAAACAAATCACATTCAAGCAATAGCTCAACGAATATGGAATACCCTTATTTTCAGTACTTTGATCTAAAGAGTAATACTTGGTTGAAATATTTCACCTATATACCCTATTTACTCTTAACCGATTTCAAAGAAAATAAGAGCGTAGATATGGATTTTTATAAGAGTTCTGAATGTCAAATTTCTTAAATACAGATAGCTCTCCATACAAGAACTAAATTAATAGCTCCGCAGTTCTATGGAAACTATACTATACTTTAATCCGAATTGGCTGAGATTTTATGTATGTGTAAACTTCTTTAAAAGAATTTAAAAGTTTTTCATACAAGAACTAAATTTTTAAACTATGATATGGTGTTAATTGATATTGTAATGAGATTTTATTGAAATTATTATTACGAATGAAGCACCTTATAAGATTTAACTGTGCAAAGTTTTTTAAAATATATATGTATGAAGAAACCAAAAGGTATTCATAGATGAACTAAATTTGTAATCTATCACTTCAATAGAAGCTATAGATTTAGAACACATTATTAAAATATGTGAAAAGCCTTTGCTAGATTCTAATGTAATGTAAGGTTTGCTGATGATAAATTGGATAATTCACAACTTTTGCACACAAGAACTAAATAAATTCAATTATCAGAAATTAGAGAGTATCGTTGCCAAGACTATGACAATCCTGAAATACCCTCTGGGGCACAGCATATGAAAACGACAAATCCAACGATGCGTTGGATGCTGGAATATTTGCATTCGAAATTGAGAAATGTTTTCTGTGTGAGTTTGTGTGGGTGTTCATGTAAGTGTGTGAGTGTATGAGAGTTGGTTCGTTGATGAACTATGTGTACACGCACATATGTGCTTGATGATGTGAGGACCCACACATATGTAGTACATATAACAGCCTGAATACATAATGAAGTTGAGAGAGAAGGACTGGACTAATAAATACCCTGTAGAGATAGATAGGATATGGAGATATAGTGATAGAGATAGAGATAGGGATAGAGATAGAGATAGAGATAGAGATAGAGATAGAGATAGGGATAGAGATAGAGATAGGGATAGGGATAGAGATAGAGATAGAGATAGAGATAGAGATAGAGATAGAGATAGAGATAGATATAGAGATAGAGATAGAGATAGAGATAGAGATAGAGATAGAGATAGAGATAGAGATAGAGATAGAGATAGAGATAGAGATAGAGATAGAGATAGAGATAGAGATAGAGATAGAGATAGAGATAGAGATAGAGATAGAGATAGAGATAGAGATAGAGATAGAGATGGAGATAGAGATAGAGATAGAGATAGAGATGGAGATAGAGATAGAGATAGAGATAGGGATAGAGATAGAGATAGAGATAGAGATAAAGGTAGAGTTAGAGATAGAGAAAGAGAAAGAGATAGATAGTTTGTCTCATAGATTTTGATTTCGTATTATATTTAACTATAAGTTCTTAGAATATTACAAAAACACGCACACACATACAGAAAGGAAAAATAATAATTAGGACATGATTTACACGTATTACCAATACAATAATATAGATATATATACATAAATGATATATATGATAACCATGGTACAGAGGCTCTTGAACAAAATATATATATGTTTAAATNACAGAGATAGAGATAGAGATAGAGATAGAGATAGAGATAGAGATAGAGATAGAGATAGAGGTAGAGATAGAGATAGAGATAGAGATAGAGATGGAGATAGAGATAGAGATAGAGATAGAGATAGAGATAGAGATAGAGATAGAGATAGAGATAGAGATAGAGATAGAGATAGAGATAGAGATAGAGATAGAGATAGAGATAGAGATAGAGATAGAGATAGAGATAGATAGTTTGTCTCATAGATTTTGATTTCGTATTATATTTAACTATAAGTTCTTAGAATATTACAAAAACACGCACACACATACAGAAAGGAAAAATAATAATTAGGACATGATTTACACGTATTACCAATACAATAATATAGATATATATACATAAATGATATATATGATAACCATGGTACAGAGGCTCTTGAACAAAATATATATATGTTTAAATATTTAAGACATACTCATGAAGGTATCCAAAAAAAAAGATATTTCTGAATTATAAAATCTATTAAATTTAAGTTTAAAGACATTTCTATTAATTTAAATATTACACATAGCAAATTTATCATTTTTAGCAAATAAAGTTTCTATAGACATTATTGCATATAATATTCCTATACAAATATTATCCGATATCGCCGAAGTGTAAGTCTCTTCATCTATGGATTCAACTACCAAAAATTGATTCGCGTTGGACACAGAGAGAGAGAGAGAGAGGGAGAGGGGAAACGTGTAGTAATCATGTGTAGAGCTTAATGTACAGAAACAGTGTTTGGATTAGTATTTGGAATGATGTCTTTTAGCCCGTTAGATTGGCCGGCAAGTCACCAACGACGGCCTGGGTGGAGAGCTTCGGCAAGGCGGCCTTGAAGAGCGGCGCTGCCGTGGGTTTGGCCATCAGCGCGGCGGACTCCGGCGGACTGTGGAAGAAGTAGAGCAGAAAGCCAGCGGCCAATATGATGTGAGCGCCGAGTATGCCAATGATAAGGAATAGCGAATATTGTGAATTGCGGAGTGCTGGCGTCAGCACGGAAATCAGCACGGTGCCCGAGAGCAGGGCAGCCGTGATAACGAGCAGCCACTGTAGCAGTGAAATCTGCAAAGGAAATTGTACTTTATGAACAATGATTATGGGCAAATTCAGATCGAACTCACATTGATCACCCAGAGTATGGAGACGGGTATATAAATGGCCAGACTATAGCCATAGATGCACATCAGCGACAAAAGACTCGGTGTGTAGCTGGCCTGTGATAACAAAGGGAGACAGAGAGAGAGAGAATGATTAAGAGATGGCTATACATAGAGAAGAGTGTAGACTAACGCTTTCCGTTTCCACGGCATCGGATGCATCGACAGGCTTGAGGCTGTACTTGAAGAGGGCCCAGAGTATGGCCGGCAAGATGTTGGCATAGAGGAAGATGCAGGTGGCTGCATATGATACCAAATGGAAATTGTAATGCCAATGATAGCTATCATTGGCCTGCTGCAAGTAGCTGGCTATATTGCCACTGATGGCTATCGAGAAGATCTGAATGAAAGAGAAAGAGAGAAAGAGACGATATATGACAGATAGATATTTTTTAAAGAGAGTGAAGTGCACCTACCAGCGTTATGGTTATCCAGAAGGGACCATACAGATCTGGATTTTCGCCAATGGTCATGCGCAAATAGTTGGCCGAGGCGCGCTTGGGTATCATGGAGTTGGCAATGCGCTCCAGCACCATGTAAGTATCGACATTGAAGAACTGCTGATAGTACTCGATGGTTAGAAATGAGAGACGAGCACTGCCACCGGCTCCAGCAGCGCCGCCATCGGCTGAGCCCCCATCGTTGCCAGCACCACCGGCGCCGCCTCCTCCGCCGCCGCCTCCGATAATATTTTGTGCTGAATTGCTCATATCGTATATCAAGTCGGACAATGGATCACCACGCTGACGCTGTCCATTGTTATAATTGGCAGCGCCGCCTCCGGCACCACCCGCTCCACCTGCGCCACCTCCAGCTGCATGCGTTGGCGAATTGACATTGATTTGCGCTGGTGTGCCGCTGTTAGTTGCGCTGTAGTCGCGGAACTGTAGCAAATCGTCGGCAGTCGGCGTTTCCATGGCTCGCTAATATAAAATATGTGGAATAATTTGAACACGCTTCTTATTTAAATTACACGTATTTATCGACAGCGCCTATATTTGTTTTTCTCGTTCGTTTATTCGTCTATTTTTTCTCTCGCCTCACACTCATACGTCAGCTGTTGATCTGGCGCCTGCGTGTGACCGTATTTTGTAAATACTTGGCATTTGAAGTTTGTATATATTTTGTGGAGTTTTCTACACTAAATAATTGAAATATCACATTGTGATCACATAAATTCAAATATTTTTAGTGAATTTATTAATATTATATACATATTTAACAAGTGCGCATAAATAGTTTGAATATACAACGATATATCGAAAGCAATCGATTGGCTTGCGCTGTGCAACACTGTCAGGCCTTGTGTCGTCAGCCAACACTTTTTGCAGCTGCAGTACAAAACAATGTTCGCTAGCTACAAAAATTTCTATAAAATTCGTTGAATAAAAGAATTTCTTGAAAAATATACAATTTAGTTGAGTTGCTTCAGTGAGTGCAGTGCTTGTTTATTATACACACACACATACCTACACACAAGAAACACAAAACACACGTATAGCGCGCTCGGATAGCAGTTATCTCTGCCCCTCCCCCCAAATGCCTGTAAAAAATGGCGAATCCGATGCGGAGGGCGACGTCTCTGGCGCAGAGTCGGAGCGCTCGAACTCCAGCCAGGCGCACGACACCTCCGACGAGGAGGAGGAGGAGGCCAATGAGTGCGATTCCGATGATTCCTCCGAAATGGATGCCACCGAAATCGAACTGCGACGCGCAGAACACATCGAAGATTTGGGTACGTACAATTTGGCGCCAATTTAATAAAGTTCTTACTAACTGATATATAATATATGTGTTATATATATGTCTTACAGCCAGCTTAGACCGACAGTTTAGTCAGCTGCGCGAACAGTATTACTGCGAACGCATCAATCACATCGAGCGGCAGCTGGCGGATGTGCGCTCCGGTCGATCCGAGGAATTTGTCCAGCCCCAGAAGGAACTGGACAAAGTCTATCAAACACGCATCGAAGTGGCCGACGTGCTGCGCAAGTTTCGCCTGCAGAATATCGAACACAAATATCTGTCCGAGGAGCAGGCAGCCACCCAACACTACGAGGTGAGTGAATTGAAGTTTCTCGTAACGAATTGATTTGCTAAACAGAGATTCGCCTTCCGTTGCGTGCAGAGCGAGAAACAAATGGCCATAGATAGTCTGCGCGAGGATCTAATGGAGCGCATACGCCGCCTCGAAGAGGATCGCCACAATGTGGACATCTCCTGGGACGATTGGGGCAACGATAAGCGCCAGAGCAAGGTGCGCGGACCTGGACGCAAGAAGGCCGTCACGGTCACCGGACCGTATGTGGTCTACATGCTGCGCGAGGAGGACATTATGGAGGACTGGACGATAATACGTAAAGCACTGAAGCGCTCATCCACAGCCGCTGGCAATGTGACGGCGGCGTCGACGCCCAATCTGGTCGGCATGCCGCTGACGCCGACGGCGATGGCCGGTGCGAATGGATAACGGTGGCGTTCGGCTGCCTACGGCCAGGCGCGCAGCAAGAAGCTCACCTGACGGCAGCGAAAGGTAGCATCGGCTACTAACCGGAATGTCCACTAGTTACATCTGTTACACGATGGTTATGTTTGTAATAATCATGCACGCACGTGTGAGCCTCTATGCTTGACACTACTCTTTTTTTTTGATTGTTTTTTTTTTTTAGTATATAACATTAAGGAAAAGAAAAAACAGCAACAAATGTCAACCCTCAAGCAAATGCAATCCTATACTTTAGTAAAAAAACCAAATTCTAGTATAAATCTTGCATTACACATGATATATATATATATAAAAAAATATCGTATTGTATATATAGCTATATATAGTTGCCTGCGCTCCTTCTCAAAAAAAGATATCACATCCCCACATTTACATATATATATGTATATCTCAGATCTAAAAAAAAAATAAAGTCAATTTTTTTCTCATTACCATAAAAGCAAAGCAAACATTTTGCCTAAGCTAGATATTGATATAATATAATTAAGAAATCACACACTTGAGCGGAAAATGAGTGAAAATCGAAACACTTCATAGAAAAATGTTGCAAGTTCGAATCCGCCAAATTTGTTGTATTGTGTCTAGTTAAGGAAACACCGTGAGATCCTGTGCAACAATTTCCCCACATACATGTACATAGATCTATAAGAAATCCACGGGAGTGAAATCAAATTCACTGAATGTTGTGGAAATTTACATGAAACTCTAAATATAAAACTAGTTTATAATATTGCAAATCTTAAGGAACATGTTTTTTTAGACTATGAGCAATATGTTTATCGGAAGCAGAGAATCCATAAAGAACTCACTTGAAGTTGTGAAAAATGGGTGAAAATCGAAGTGTACTTATTGGTGTTTGGGTTCGGACTCGGATCCCTTTGAATAGATCTTGCTTTAGATTAGTTACATTCAGAACAAACTCGGTAAATCTTAACATTTAACTGTTTATTGCAACAAAATTAGAATCCCTTGCTTTTGAGATGCTCCCGCAGCAGATCCACATAGTCGCCATGGATGTGGATCTGGCCGCTCAGCTCGTTGACCCGCGTGGCGCAGAGTTTGCCGTTTCTAGACTGTTCCACGACCTGGCGCAGATCCCGCTCAAGGGCCCAGATATCGCCCTGGATGAGTCGCACGATGGTGAGGCGGCGCTGGCCGCGAAAGCGCGTATTCAGATAGACGGGCACCATGTGGTTCTTGGTGCGCGCCACAAAGTAGCCGCTCTCCTGGCCAGTCGCCGTCTGTGGCTTCCAGCCAGACGGATAGGCTGGCTTTGCGACGGGCTGGGGCACGGTGCGAGGCGGCAGCAGGCGCTCCACGTACTTCCATTCGGGCGGATTGTGCAGCACCTCCACCTCGGGGTACTCTTCGAGTGGCTGCACCTCCCTGGACGAGCGAAAGCTGGACAGGCGAGCGCAGTCCGTGTGCAGCGAACGCACCAGCTGCAAGAGAGCATTTACCATTGGTCAATTAGCAACGATGACAGGCAGGTGGGCGAGTCACTCACCTGTTTCAGTCCCTGCAGCAGCGGCGTGTTAACGATGGCTTTGGCGTTGGCTGCCATTTATAATTATTTCTAGCTGATTTTAGTGAAGAAAAACAAAATGAAAACAACAGCCACAAATTGTGTTACATATGCGCTGTGCGGAACTAGCTGGCGGAATCAGTGATCAGCAGCGTTGCCACTGCGCACGCTGAGTGCTGAAAAGTGGCAGTTTTTGCCAATGCACCAAACGGTAAATTAAATTTGCTAAATATTAAAATATTCTCTAATTAATTAAGCTAACCATAGTGCGTAATAGCAATAAATTATAAAAGCTAATTGCATTACATATGCTCTGACTGGAACTAGTTGCGGAACTGCAGCCGGCACACTAGCTAGCCCACTTTTAGTGTTGTAAAGCGCAACATCTAACTGTTGGCGCCTTTTGTAAATATGTAAATGCACTTAGAGATATCCGTGAGTGTGTGTGTGCATGTGTTTGTGTGCAACAAATGCCGCCAGCGACGTCATCGTTAGAGCTAAAGCTTTTGCAAGCAAACACACACACAGACACACACAAACACAAGCTTATTTTAATCATTAGCGCTGCAGCTACTTTGCCTCTAGTTGTTGTTGTTGTTGCAGTTTTTTGCTGCATTTGATGTTGATTCTAGCAGCAGCAGCAGCAGCAGCCGCCGCAGCCGCTGCCGCAAAACCGTTTTGGCATTGTTTACGTTGCAGCTTTTATTTGTTAGCTTTTTTTGCGCTCAGTTTCAGTTTTCAGTTTTCTCGGCGCTTTCGTTGCGACAAGTTGTTGCTGTGTTTGCCCCAACACACAGCTAAAAAGCAAAACTAAATTTGACAGACGCACAGATTAGTTTGATACCGTTTGTTGCATTCGCAGCTGCTTATTAAGCGGAAGCAAGACCGAGGGAAAGGTAGAAAGAGAGAGAGCGTCAGCGAAACAGAGGCAGTCAGCGAGCGCGCGCAAATTCGAGTGCTTGTTTTTGTTTTCCGTTCTTTTTTTCTCATTCTTTGCTGCTCCCATTTCCTTTGACTAATGTGTTTGGCTGCCATTGTAACGGTGCAGTGTGTCAGTGTTGCAAAGCGCTAGGAGCATGGCTCGCAAGGATGATCCCGTCTTCAATGTGAAATTCGTGCAGCTGGTCGAGAATCAGCCTTGCCTCTGGAACTACACACATCCGGGCTACAGCAAAAAGGAGGAGGTGCAAAAGGCCTGGCAACATGTGGCCAATGAAATAAAGGACACAGGTGCATATAATTACACACACACATAGACAGACAACGTGCGTGCGTGTGTGTGTGTGTGTGCAGCAGGCAAAACTTTTCATTTCTACTGCACTTGTAGATTTCCATTTCCATATTCGTTTATTTCTGCTTTTTTTTTGCAATTGCGTGCTCATTTGCTGTACGCGCGTGTGTGTGTGTGTGTGCTGGCGCGCGCGCCTATGATGCAAGCTTTTTGCCTGCGTGTGTGTGTATGTGTGTGTTCAATGCAATCGCAATTTGTAGTCGTGCCAACTCGCTTGCACTTAATGCTTTAAATGCCTCTTAGCATGCATGCGTGTGTATGTGTGTGTGTGTGTGTGTGTGTAGGTGTGTCACTGTGTCACACACAGCAATAGCTGCGCGCGGCGTTTGCATGCAATTAGTTTTGTTGTTGTTGTTTTTGCTATTGCTATTGCTGCTGTTGCTGCAGCTGCTTTTGGCATGAAATTAAAAAAGTTCAGCAACTGCAGCGCAGTGGAAATACCCTGCATGCATTTACATACATACGCATGTATTTATGTATGCACGTTTCTCTGTTACTTGGCGGCATTTGCCAACACTTGTTGCCGACCACAGATCCCCGACCGCTTCTTGCATTGTGCAGCACTGCACATTCTCCTTGGCAGCAGCACACTGAGCCAAGTCGAGCCGCTTCGAGCTGAACTGAACTGGGTTATGAGCTTTTTTGATTGGCCAATTAAATGTTCATTTTCATATGTTGAATTTGGTTCCACTTAAAAGTTCCGCTCAGCGGTTGCTGCACACACACACACACACAAACATACACACATGCGCATGCATACGTTATGCAGCACTGGCATTAATTCGGTTCTGCTAAAGGATTTGACAACAAAATTAGGTTAGGGCTGGCATGAGAGGAGGCGCTGGGCGTTAAGGCTGGCATTAATTGTTGCTGTAATTGAATTCTTAAGTAAATTTTAATGGCGAAGCTATTTGTCTGAAGCACAATTTTTTAAGCGCATATTACATATAGCTAAATTACTTCATATAGATTATTTAGTGCTATGTTTATTGATTATATTTGCTATAGCTTAAACTTTTCGGATAGATAGGCAGCTTTATTAGATTTTGCTTTTGCGTATATAGAGTATATCAAATCTGAATTGCCTTACGCATTTGCTATATGGAGTATTATTCCTTATTGGGAAGGATGTGCCGCAAATGAATAGATAGCAGAGTATTCGGAATATTCCTTCCTTTCGTTCCGAACACTCCGAATAATCGTTCCTTTCGTTCCGAATGCTCGAAATACAGTGAACTCTTCCTCTCCTCTCATTTCTACTCCTTGACATGTTATTCTGAATCTCTTCCGTCACTCCGAAAACTCCAGCCTTCTTCCCCAAGGTTACTCATACTCTTCCTTCTAGAATACCTCTCCTCATTGAATTCACAATATTAGTTATTATATTAATATAAAATCATTACTCCTAAACTTCTTTTTATTCCAAAATAATACCAAATTTAATATCTCCCTTCGAATCATCTCAATTTCAGTTCGGAACTCGCGTGAGCGTTGGCGCACCATTCGGAGTAGCTTCCTGCGATCCCTGAAGCTGGCGCGCACCCAGACGGGTCGCGGCAAGCGCAAATACTACTTGTCCAAGTATCTGCAGTTTCTGATACCCTACACAAAGTCGCGCGCCTGTCACAAGCAGCTGCCGCTCGGCCAGCCGCCCAATCCCAATCCCAATCCCAATCCCAGCTCGAATCTCAATGCGAATTCGAACTCGAGCTCGAGCCCGAGCGGCGGCATGGTGCTGCGCAAGCCGAGCACCTCGGCGACAACGGCGGCAGCGGCGGCCACATATCTGACGCGCATCGGCCACATGCGACTCCTGGAGCAGCATCATCACCAGCAGCAACAGCAGCAACAGCAACAACAGCAGCAACAGCAACAGCAGCAGCATCAATTGCATCAACAAGAGCTGCAGGAGCTGGAGCGAGAACGGGAGCGGGAGCAGCAACGCCATCATCAGCAGGAGGAGGACACCAAAGACAGCAATGGCAGCCACGAGGATGAGGAGGAGGAGGCGGCAGAGTCACACGACGAGCAGGACGACCACCACCCGCAGGAGGCAGCAGCAGCTCTCTCGCCCCTGCGACTGCAGGCCATCAAAGTGGAGCACCAGCAGCACCAGCCGCAGGGCACAGATAAGATTGTTGCTGCTGCTGTGGGTGCACAGCATTCGCTCGTCACGTTGCCCGTTTCGATGGCGGCGGCGCTGCGCAACAACATGGACTGGACGATGGCCGAGTGGCTCAAAGGCAGCGCCAACCAGTTGCACTACAACAGCAACACCGGCAACACCAACAGCAACAACAACAACAACAACAACAGCAGCAGCAATTGCAATAATCTGACAGCAACGCCACCAGGTGCAAGCACACCTGCGCCCGCTGCTGCGTCAGCGCCGGCGTCGGCAGCGCCAACACCTGGCCTGACGCTCGCTCAGCCCGACGCCGATTATTCGTTTTTAATCAGCCTGCATCCATATCTGAAAGAAATGAGCGGCAAACAGAATCGTCGATTTAGGCAAAAGGTCGTAGGGCTCATTGACAATGTGCTGGACAATTTGGATGTATAGCAAAACAAAAAAACAAAAAAGAAAACATAAACAGAAAATAAATATAACAACCGACAGTGCCCATTTGTTAAATATAATAGCAATTAAATGAATTTGTATTGTTTTTTTGTTAAAGTTACACATACATAAAAACACTCACATACACACATATTTGTTAAATGTAAAACAGAATATAAGAAGAAAATGTCATGCAATGCAAAATAAAACGCTTTTCACAAAGATCAAAACAAATTCAAATTTAAATTTTAGTCGCATTTTGCAGCACTACGCTGCGGAGCTGAGTGCTGCCAGACTTTCAGCAGCACAAACAAAAAGGAAAGCAAAAAGTAAACAGCAAATTCAAATTTAAATTTTTGGCGCACATCTGTACGTTGCCAGACTGCTAGAAAAATAAAAGAAACACACAAAAAAACAAATATAAATAGAAAAATATATACATATTTTTGCAAAATTGAATTTCACAAAAATAAACTAAGCAAATTCAAATAAAATTCTTTGTCTCATTTTACAGCACTACACCGCAGCAGCGCTGCCAGACTGTTCGGACCGCGCAACAGCTGCTATGTTGTTCCCTGGCGCTGTGGCAGCACTGTCCCAGCAATTATTTGAGATTAAAACAAAAAAGCGCAATGTTAACAATAATGGCATATTAGTAACGTGCAGACCTAACTAACATTCCTCATTTGAATTAACGTAGGTAGCTCAGCACGCGGCTGTATGTGTATGTGTGTGTGGCGCACGTGTGTGCGTGTAACGTGTGCATGTGATGTAATTTGCTGTGCAGATAACGCAAAGTCTACAAAAAGCTATTGTTAAATGTTGATAATTCTTATATAAAAGCAACGCCGTGCACACACACATACACACACATGGAGTCACATTGATTTTTGGAGAAAGTTAATTGTTGTATGAAATTGTCAATGTAACGGCACATTCTATTCAGGTTGCCAGAGCCAATACCTTGCCACACGAGCGTGAGAGAGAAAGAGAGAGAGAGTGAGAGCAGGAGTGAAGCAGCTGCAGGCGCAACTTATTAATTCTTGATAATTCGACAGCAAAATGCATAAATGCTGCATTCAGACACAGACACAGCAGACCACGCTAACAAAGTCCACAGCATTCAGCAAAAAGAAGAAGATTCGCAGCAATTGTAACGGTAACAGCAACGGTATCGGTGGCAAGAGCATTATGTCCAATTGCCATAGCAATGATGGAGACGACAATCACACTGATGCCGATGCCACCTGCCCCGTAGCCATCACAGACGCCACTCGGGACCACATCAAGCGTCGCGTCCGCACGGCGTACGAGTTCTTTGACCAGACGCTGATGCAGTACAAGATCGCTCAGTTGATATTCTGCTTCAATGGCGGCAAGGACTGCACAGTGCTGCTCGATCTGCTGATGGGCTACTGCGCCCAGCGGAACATCGACAGCGGCCAGATACCGATGCTCTACATTGAGTCGGACGATTCGTTCGAGGAGATCGACGACTTTGTCCAGCACTGTGTGAGGCGCTACAAGGTGAAGCTCATCAAGTACAAGGACTCGCTGAAGGTAGCGCTCACCCAGATGACCCACGACATGCCGCTCATCAAGGCCGTCTTTGTGGGCAGCCGCAATACAGATCCCTATTGCGACAAGCTGAAAGCGATGCAGGTAAAGCTCCGCCTGCCGCCAGGAGTGGCCCCATCTCCATTCCCTTTCCATTCGTCATTCTAATTGCAACTCGATTTGTTACAGAAAACGGACAGCGATTGGCCGGACATGATGCGACTGAATCCGCTGCTGGAATGGAGCTACCACGACATCTGGCACTACATCCACATGTACAAGGTGCCCTACTGCAGTCTCTATGCGCGGGGCTACACATCGATTGGCTACAAGTCCAACACCTTTCCCAATCCGCATTTGCTCTGCGCCGAGTGTGCGGCGGCCGGAGCAGAGGCTGCCACGCCCTGCTATCGGCCCGCCTGGGAGCTGGCCGATCCCACAATGGAACGGGCGGGACGACACAGTTCCAAATAGTCGCAAAAAGCTAAAACTGGCTAATCATAGTGCAATTGTATTGTAAATAACTACTATATATATATATATTGATTTATATATATATATATCTTATCCTTTTTAAAACTTTTTTTTTTAATTGAAAGAATTATGTAGACATAAATTTGTATACAAAGCGGAACGTACTCACTATATATATATCTATACGTGCATATGTATATCTAGTTCTCATTTGTATGATATATATCACGTATGCATATATATATTCATATATCAGCTTTACCTTAAGCTTTATAATTGGCATTCATTTCAGTTCGTGTAACTTTTTTGTTGCAGCTGTTGATTTTCTTCTCTAAAATTATAAATTGCAAGTCGAGTCAGATATATACATACATACATATACATATGCGAGTTARTTATCTATATGTATTTATGTTTGTATTTCAAAGTATAAGCTTTGCTTGCACCGTAAAGTCTGCTGTCTCAGCTTTACAGTCGCTTAACATTTAACGGCAGCTTAAGTTAACATGCATGTCCAATGCTTACAGCTAGTTGTATGCTAAGTGCTCTTAACGTTTGTAAATAGGAAATACAGTTCTATGTTTTTTAATTGAAAAAAATAATGGAAATAAAATATGAATCATGTGTAGCACACATTTTAAAAGAGCTGTTCTACAAAGTCTAAGAATATATAGTACGGTCTAAATCATGGTCAATCTGTTATACAATATTTTACAAGCAGAAGTACTTTAACTGTTATACAAAATGAAAGAATATGCCTCAACTGTTCTCAGGGTTATGACTAGTCTGTTATACAATGATATATAGTCATGTTCCATCTGTTATACAATATCTAGCTAGCTTCACTTATAGCTAGATATTTCCATACATTAACTGTCATATTATAACTAAGTTTCAGCTGTAGTTAAACTTAAGTTTATATAACAGTTTGTTTTCTAGTGCTACACAAGCTTATATAACAGTTTTTCTTAGATGTATCAAAGCTTTAACTGTCATACTAATTTAACTGAAGTTTATATACCAGTTTTCTTCATAGTGCTATACAAGCTTATATAACAGTTTTTCTATCTTATAGTTATACAATATTTATACGCAGTCTATAAATAAATGTATACCACAGCTAATTGTACAGAAGTTATTCTCAATCTGTTATACAATTTCGTACCGACTTCATAGTTTGAATTTTTCACAAACTGTTATACAACTTGTAGACCAGATTATACAATTTGTTATATCTCAGCTATAACTAGATGAGTGCAAACTGTTATACAGTGTTCACAATATGTCATCTTTTTGGCTGTAGCGGGAGTTCACTGTACTCCATTCGGCTGGAGTGAGTCGAATCGTAGATATTCGGAGATCTGCGTCGCCTGCTGCCTCTTGTCGGCGATGCGGGATCCGAACTGGATGGCGCGCTTCTTCAGCAGCGTCGCATCGCGCAGCCCCAGGCGGTGGCCATAGAGGCGCAGCAGCAGCTTATCGCCGACGCCCTCGGGCAGGGCGTAGCAGCAGCGCTGCTGCGGCGCCAGCGAGCGCACGAACTGCGCCAGATGCTCCTCGATGAAGGGCGCTCGCGCCGTCTTGCCGCAGTCAGCGATGATGCGATCGTCGCGCGCCAGATTGCGTGCGGGTATGCGCTGCCAGTCCATCTCCAGCTCCTGGCGCAGCGCCAGCTCTCGCGAAGCGGCGCTGGGCCCAGCGCGACGCCAGGCATTGCGATGCCTCGAGTAGCCGCCAAAGAGCTCGTCGGCGCCGCTGCCCAGGAGCGCTACGCGTGCGGTCGAGTCGGCTGCGGCGGCAGCAAACCAAAAGGCGCAGCCCAGGGACTCGTCCAGCACCGTTTGCAGCGGATAGATGAGCTGGCGGATGTGCGCCGCGAGCTGTTGCTGCAGCTGCTCTCGGCTGACGTTCACCTGCAGCAGCTGCCAGCTGCGCTGCGGGCAGAGGCGCTGCAACTCGAGCAGCGATTGCAGCGATGTTTGGCGATCCGGCACGCTCCAGCTCTGATCCGCAGCGCCGGCCACGCGCTCGAACGCCACATTGATGAGCTCGATGGGCTCCGAGGGGGGCACATATTTGTCGGCGAGTACGGCTAGAATGCTGCAGTCTATGCCGCCCGAGAAAAGGATGCAGATCTTGGCATGCGAGCACCTGCCACTGCCACTGTCACCACACAGCCGGCAAACGGGTGCCGTGTGCAGCACGCGCGCAGCCACCGACCGTTGGAGCAGCTCGTCCAGTTTGCTCAACGCCTGCTGCACGGCTTCATTTCCCAGCAGTCGCTCGTGGAGCAGCTCCAAGGGGATGTCACCCGCTGCTAAGGCATACAGATCAAAGCTGCTCACCTGCAGCAACTTGTCCAGCAGCCAGGACGGCGCAATGGTCTGCCCCAGCCGCATGCTCCACTCCATGGCCGTCTGCAAGGTGGAGAGCTGTTGCTGCATCTGCTCGTTTAGCGGTTGCCAGGGATACAGGCAACACTCGTTGAGCTGCGCCAAGCGCAGCTTGTACAGACCGAGCGGTGGTAGCTCCAGGGCAGCTGTGGCCATGTGCTCCAGCACGGGGCACGAAGTGCTCATCAGTTTCAGGCAATTGTTCGGGTGGCGTTCAATGATGAGCGAATTGCGGCCCAGGGCATCGCGGCAAAAGTATAGCGCCTTCTCACGTCTGCCAGTATAGCTTTATTACTATAGCTCTGTACAGGGTATGTTATAGTGTCATACTCACCTGTTGTACAGTATAAGGCAGTATGGTCCTTCCAGCTGCTGCAGCAGCGCCAGCAGCTGCTCATCCTCGTTCATGTTGCATTTGTTCAGCTCTTTTATCAGCCAGGCGCTGTCCGCCTCGCTCTTCAGTTTCTTTTCATCCAAATTGTAGAGATCGCCATTGAAAAGCAGCACCAAATCGTTTTCGACTAGCGGCTGCTTTTGCGGYGCAGCGCCTTGTTGCCATAGCACGTTGCCGGCCAGCAGCACATTGTCAACTATGAGTTTATCCTGGACGTCCGGCCCGCGATTGTGGAGTAGCTCTTCCAAAGCGCTATGTAAATGACAACTAACGTCATTATTTTGCCCAATTGCACAAAAAATGCCGCACATTTCAATTCAAATTGTAAACATTGTAATTAGCATGTGCTTGCGAACCAGCTCAATTGAGTGATTTGTGCTTAACAGCGCCATTTTGAGTACAAACAAACTTAAAAGTCTTGTTAATCATTTAATTTACAGCCTGCATGAATATAAATTTGTAAAATATTAAATATATTAGAAGTATCGCATATAGCCAATAAGAATCGGAATAAAAGAAAATAAAATATTTAATCAGCCGTTAGTGTTTACAGAACAGAATAATGTTAGCTTTTGCCAGTACTGCTATGAATTAGTTCTCTTGTGAACTTTTTTGGGCAACAGCTGATTTCAAAATTTGGCAACCATAATTTACAAACATTTTCATAACTAAAATAAGCATGTTTTTAATATAAATTTTCGATTTTTTTTTTTTTTTTTGCTATAAATTATATAAGAAATTAT